GGTGCCGGCGGGTGCGAGCCCTGGCTGCTTCCCTTTCCTCGCCAGCCCTGGCTGCAGCTGGCAGCCGTGCCCTGGCCCTCGAGGCCCTGCAGGACCTGCTTCTGCCTCAGGTTCGGTTGGCGGTGGGGGAAGATTGTGGGTTCAGGCACCCGAAACAGAGAGGAATCCAAGTTCGGGGCCGGCTCAGCTCTGGCTCTGCACAACTGCCCTGTCCTGTCCCTTCTCCTGGAGTTTCTCTAAACCCCCAAACAGCCTCAGCATGACCCAGGAGGCTTTTCGTTCCCAGTGTAAAACAGCTGGGACTTTGCAGGAAGAGGGTTCACAGCTGTACTGGGACCAGTTTAACCTAATATCCTGCTTCTTGCAGCGATCTGGAACTGGCTGTAACGTCCTCGAGTGCATGTTGCTGAGGCTAAAGCCGCGCTTACAGGAATCTTAGCTTCCTGGGGAGGCGTCGGGGGCTGCCCTCGTTCCCGGGCTCTGGCGCGTGCCCAGCCCCGGCTCGGGGTGCGATGCTCGCCCAGGCACCCGGCAGCCCCGCGCTTCAGCATCCCGGGCGCGGGAGTAAGGAGGTGCCTGTCTGCAGGAGGAGATGGGAGAGAAAATGCGTTAATGCTCGTGACCCCTGGACAGCCAGGGCCCTGCAGAAGAGCAGATGTGTCTGTGGAAAGTCTGCATGGTTATGTAATTATCCATGGCTTAAAAAAAACAAACAAAAACTGCCATCCAGTTATCATAACAAAGGCCTTTCTGTGCTGAACAGACTTCTGAAGTCTTTGATTTATTTTAGAAAGTCGCAGTAACAGAGTAGCTGTTTTTAAGAGGACTAGATTATTTCATTCCCGTGGTATTGGTGATACCCATGCAGTCAGCAGTACCTGGTGTTCTCCTGTTAAAGCTGCATTAGCACATCTGCTCTGCAGTTTAGCAGGCAGATGCCTTAAGTGCAAAATGCAAGACCAGCCGCAAACTGTGCTTTGAGCTTTACACGTGAATGAAAAGGGATCGAGCACTAAAAATGGTTTATTGAGTTGAACAAAAGCAGGCCCCGTAGCGATAAGCAGCGAGCAACTCGGCAGTATCAAGACCTTTTCATGTGGGACAATGGGTGTATTCATTCCCCAACCAAGAACAATGCCTAGAAATCACAATTGTTCCCTTTTTGTGTGTGGAACAATCAGGAGAATAATATCCCATTTGTTGGCAGGTTGCAAGTAGCATGCAATAAAGGAAAAAATTAATCAGTGCATCGAGTATTCTGACAGCAATGCTCCGCGCTGTGCTCGGCTGTATGGGACAGGAGGAAATTCTCGTTTTATTTTCACTAACGGACAAATTGCCATACGTTCATGTGAGGTTAAACCTGTCCTGGGGCAGCTATTGTGGAGCAGCTAACAGGCAGTTAGTTGTCACCCAGTTGCTTGTGCGCATGTTCACGTCCTGCAGCGAATCCGAGATACCTGGGGGCAAATCTAAGATCAATGCTGGAGTTTAAATCATTAAAGGGGGGGAACAGAGTGTTTCCATAGGAACTGGGTAGATAACATAATAGTCGAGACCGCAGGTTGTGATTTTCCGAGCAGCGTGTTCGGGATGTGGGGCGAAGGCAGAGGTTTGCAGTACCGTGCCAGAAAGCAGGAAAGATGCTCTCGCAGAGGCCTTCGGAGGGAAGGGCAGCTTGGTAGGAAGTCATGACCGGCCCGCGAGAAAAAAGGGCAAAGCCTGTAGGCGCCTTATCATCCCAAAGGAAATGAAGCAGCGTGACTCCCAGAGATGGCTCCTGGGGGAGGAAGCGGGAGCCCAGGCAGGCCGGTGAGGGAAGGGCCGCGGGCGGCCTGGGGGGATGCTGGGCAGCACGGCCCTTCGTCAAGGCATCCTCGCCCCTTGCCGTGCCCGTCGGTGGCGGCTCGCCTCTGATGCCGTCGCTTTGCAGGTGAACGGGATAAACGTGGAAGGGCTGAGGCACTCGGAGGTCGTGTCTCACATCAAGTCCAGAGAGAACGAGGCCCGGCTCCTGGTGGTGGACCCCGAAACGGACGATTACTTCAAGAAGCTGGCGGTGACCCCCACCGAGGAGCACACCCAAGGTGAGACCTCGCGTCCGCCGAGCCACCGCGTGCCGTTCCCACGACGCCCTGTGACACTGGGTGGGATCGCAGAAGTGACTGAGAGTCATGTTTCCCTTCTGCCTCATCCCTCGGTAGTTTCCTGAGCACCACCCAGCTATTTATAAATAGCGAGAACGCTTCTTAATCTAGCCAAAAAGCGAACTGTTGTTTTTGCACCGTGAATAATTAACTTGTGGAACTTGCTGCCAGAAAATGGTTGAGACAAAAAGAGCGGTGGGATTTAGCGGGAGCTGGGTGCTGGGGTGAGCAATGAGCCCGCGGTACAAGCGTGGGACAGGCGCTCAGGCGAGAGCGGTCCGCGCGGCTCGAGCCGCGCTACCTTTGGTGAGGCAGAAGCCCGGCTGATGGCAGACTCCAGAGGCCTCTCCGTTTTCTGCTGCAGCATCCAGCACCCTTAGAGACAGACGGGGCGTCGGGTGTCCGCGTGGGTGGGCCTCACCCAGGAAGGCACCGGTGGTCAGGAAGCAGCCAGCCCGCTCATGGGAGAAGGCCATAAATCCTGCGCTCCTCTTCGCTCCTGCAAAGGAAGCCCGAGGGCGTGTAGAGCAACGCCAGCGCAAACACCACGTATGCGCAAAGGGGAAGGTTTCACGCGACGCTGATCACACGGAGAGCTGTCGCAGCAAGTGTTTTCCTTGCTGTTGAAACCTGGCAGCGAAAGCTGCCTGTCCACTCTGCAACCTGTTGTGCCGCAGCCGCCCGTACTGGGCGCGAGCGCCGCGTTCCCCCCAGCGCACACTTCCCTCCTGGCTGCCTGAATGGGGAGCTCTGTTTCTCGATACAGCTGTTCCTTATCTGATCTGAAATCTGGCTCGGGTGGTCGCTCGGCTTCGTCAGATGCTCAATGGAGAGATTTGTCCAAAAAAATGGGTCAAGCAGTTCTGAGAACTGCATGGGGCGAAAGTGGTGTCAGATGCTCCGAACTGGTTCGAGGAGGAGCTGGTGCGAGAGTTGTCTGTTGGCACAAACAATAATGGAGGCCTTGTTCTCCACTCGTGGAGACGTAGCCGGGGTCACTGACACACCAGTGATGTTCAGTTACACATTCAAGCGCTGTGCCTTGGTTTTGCAACTCCTTAACTGCATTGTTAGTGTGCCTTCTTGCCTTTTTCTTCAGAAATCGCTAAGAATTGGGTCTGCCTGGCAGATGATTGTGGACAGACCAGGCTCCAGAATCCCAACACCGAAATTGAGGCTTTCGCACCAACACGCATTCAAAAATTATGATTTTAAGTTACTTTTTTAAGTGCAAAGGTGCCCTGATTTGCAGTAGGAATCCCTACAGCTCACACTGATGCAGCCCTCCGACTCGGTCTTTAAGCAAGCCCAGAAACGTCTTAGATGACGTATTGAGACAATGGCTTTGGGGCTGTAAAATTAGCAACCCTGAGTTTCTGTAGTTGCAAGCTGCGCTTGGCACCAAGTGCTGCTCTTGCTTCACTGGATTTCATGTTACACAATGAAGTGCACGCACATCATTGTTTTCTGCTCATTTGCTGTAATATGGTGGCAATCTGAGGTCCCAGCTGAGACAGGTCTCGTACTGTTCTGCATGCCGGAGAGATGCACAAAATGAAGTCTTTGCCCCAAGAAGTATTCATTCTCGACAGATAATTCAGTTTTTAATCCTGTCACATGATTAGCACATCTGTTATACCAGTGTCTCATCTGTCCCAGGCTGCCTTTAGCAGTGACTTGGTAGTGGCGACTGGCAGCTCATCTGCATAACATTTGTCATTATATGGAATATTATTAGTGCAAATCATTGGCAGTGAGCAAAAAATAAAAAGTTGCAAAAATGCAGTTATGTGAAAAGCGGTCGATTTCCCACATGCTGTTGTGAAACCAGCAAGATGCTGATTTCAGCAAAGAATCTTGGATTGGTTTGTAAGACTTCTGATTAAATAGCTTGTTTTTCTTCTGAACAAAAAATACTTAATACTCAAAAAATATGGAAGTGCATTGTATTTAGCGCTTATAGAAGGAAGTTATTTGGTCCCTAGGGGGTTCATGGAAGGAATTTTCTTCTGATGAAAATGGGGTGAAATCGAGTGAAGTCAGGAGAATGTTAAAAAATTTGGTTTCCCGGAGGACAAGGAAATGGAGAGGCTTTTGCGGGGGCTTGGATGCAGCACAGGCGGTAATCTTGCTGCAGCCCCGAGAGAAAAGCTGTGCTGGCTTTGCAGAGCGTGCGGGGGTGGGACCCTGTAACCGCTGCAGCGGGAAAGGCCTGCTCGCCTTTGCAAGGTGGGTGATGCTGAGGGAAGCTTGCCTTGCCCACGAGGCCAACAACCCCATCTGAGCGTATTTACCAAATATTTTCTTTGCACGGTCTGTAGGTGTGGTACCTCAGCCCATCACAAATGGATCTGCACAGACTCAGGTGAGTGTTTGCCTGCTCCGGTACGCTCTGATGGCTGGGATGACAGGGCAGCGTGCCCACTTATCTCGGTTTGGGAGAACATATGGAGCGGTCAAGGGGGACTAAGGGGGAGAGGCCAGGCTCCTGGGATGCCAGCTTTTCCTGAGTCTCGCACGTGATGGGGAGAAATATGAGCCTGTCGGGATGACTTGCCAGCCTGCAGAGTGGAGATGGAACCTCACAGCCTCCCAGAGGCTCATTTAGCTCAGCTTAACTGCTGCTGGCTAATTTTAATTGCTTCCTCCTGCAGTTTTAATTTAGGGGTTAAACAAGGCTGGTTTCAGCCCCATTTAATTGTTTTCCCCAGTGACAGAGAACATAAGTAGCTGCTAAGCGCTGGCAGAGCTGCAAGGCTGGGTTTTGCTCGGGGCGGGAGGATGGGGAGTTACGGAAAGCAGTGGCCCTTCTTCCACCGGGTTTGCAGGGAGAGAACTGCAGAGCTCCGGGCAGCTCTGAGGAGCGTGTGTGCGTGTGAACGCACAGGGTCACTTCCATTCAAAATCCTCCCTTTCAGGCTGTTTACGTAGCTGGCCTTGTCTCTGGAAAAACTAGGCGTTATTCTCTACCTGGCAGGGCTGGCTGTGATTTTCCTCGTGAGGCTGTAGCGTTTTTCTGCAGACCTCCCCCCCCCCCACCCCCCTTCAGTCTTTGTGCAAACTGTATTAACATTTTACTATCCAATAGCTGAATGGAGGATCCACATCTTCATCTCACAGTGACCTTCAAAGCCCTGGGAAGGAATCAGAGGTAAAAAAAACCCCAAATGTATCCCCTCCTCTTTTTACATACTTACATATGTACATGCCTTTGTGATATTGTGTAAAAATGCCTTTAAATGCATTTTCAGTTTCAGCTGCAGACTTAGGTACAGCTGTGCTCATCAAACAATCAAAATACAGAATTTCCTTTCATGTCTGGCACTGTAAATCTTCATGAAACGTCCCTGTGAGCTACTAGTGGCTGCTGGTTCCAGCTCAGAGGTGGTTGCGTTTCTGGGATGCATAAATAATTCCTTTAGGTAGTTTATTAAGGACTCGGGACCCTCCGGGCTGAAGTGTACTGCAGGAATACAAGTTGCTATCACAAAGACGTAAACACCGGGGAAGGGGCGATTATCTGTCGACTCCATCTGTAAACTGCCGCCCTCTAACCCGCATCTGAAATGTTTAGCAACCTTCAAATGTGAATTAAATACCATTATGTTCTGTTACTTCTCCTGGGCTTTCAGATGTGCGGAAGCTAAAACATGCAGCATTTGATTAAGCAAAGTTTAAAAAGACTGCTGAGCAGGTTTGAATTACTTGGCCTGTTTCTGTCTCTTGTGAGCGAACCTCTGGCTCTGCGAGCGAGAGTCCGAACTGCGCATTCTTTCCGCTCTTTGTCAGGGGGACAGAGGAGCTCGCTGGCTGCATGTGGCCTCTGCCAGCAGCAGCAGATGTCCTGTATTAATAGACAAATTTTGCAAGGGTTCAAATGCATGCGTCTTTTCCAAGTTAGACCCTGCCTCTAAGAGGACTTACGCATGCTCGTACCTTTGGGCACCGTGACCTCAGCGGGGATGGCGATAGCACTGCCTGAAACAGGAACAGAGGAAAATGTCAAGGCATAACTGCAGCAGTTAATTGGTGCCTTGTTAGAAGGTGACTCTTGCTCTAATAGCCTGAAACAAGGGGTGAGATGAAAGGATGCCTTGAAGTAGTTTTAGATCTGAAGTATAATTACACTGACAGAGCCTACAGGAAAAGAGCTGAAGGCTGTGAAGGGGGAAGGTTGTGAAAAGCGGAGCCGTGAGGTTCTGGCCTAAGACGCTATTAGGAACAAGGCAGCCTGGAGCATAAAGAAAGATATCACAATATTCAAAGTAGCTGCTCAGGATAGGAGGAGCTTGAATTTGGTGACCCAGAGGGTTGCTTCCAGATCTGTGGCTGTTTTTCTGCTAGAGAGCCGACTTTAACATTGCAGCGTATGCAGAACGAGCTTTGGGCTAGAGAACAGCCTGATCTCTCTATGCAAGATGAAGGACTTTACCAAAAGTAAACCCAAGGCATAAAAGTGATTAGATTTACTCGGTGTTATTAATTTAGCAGTTTTTTCTTAAAATAACGAGTAGGGGATTTTTAAGGTGCTCAAAAATTTGTCATGTTGAACCAGAAGCTCTGATAAAAACAGAAGAACGCCTCACTACAGGGCTAGGTTGTGTGAAGTATCTTGGGGGTTCTCACTGCTTGCTGTGTCCCCCGCGCTGGGTTATCTGGAAGGGGAAGTCTGATGTCCAGCCACCTCTGAAAAACCAGAAACTCTAAAACCTCTTGGGCTTGGAGACTGCAAGCACTAGCGGCCTCTGGGAACTGGGGCCAAATGTCTCCAGGCTAGCATCTCTGCTTCTATCTGGACATGAAATAATACATGTCCTGATTCTCAGTGATGGTGTTCAGTGAGAACTGGTGCTGGCTGCCCCGGGAAAATCAGGCCGTCTCTGTCCCGGTGCCTGAATGCACCAGTGACTCCCTTTGAGGCATGTCTGGGCCATTTGAGAGATCGTCCCACCTCTTTGCTAGAGATTAGTGTCCCTGGAGGAGGGTGGTGGAGGAGGTTTTCCGCTTCTCCACCACCACAACTTGTAGCTTGGCACGCTCCTTTAAACCACCACCAGTTTCAGTTTGCGTCAATAAACCAGAGCAAAGTCAGAGTTGGAGCCGTTATTTCAGGCCCCCCTTTTGGGAGCCTGGCCCACAGTTAGTGGGATGATTTGTTAAAGCGCTTGTTGGAGTTTCCTAGGCACTTTAGGCGAACAGTGCTAGGAGGCAGGCTTTCGAACTGTAGGTCCTGCTTCTGCCGCACGTTTGTCAGCTGTTTACGTTGAGCGTAGTGAGCGCAAAACGCTGCCTTTCAGCTCCCGCGCGAGCGAGGGCGCAGCCCGGGCAGACGCTCCGCTGTTACAGAACGCGCCGCCGAAACCGATTCTGATGAAACAGGTCCAAGCAGAAAAGACGCTTCTCTATTCGGCAAGGCTGCACTGCGGGACGCGAGGGACCGCGCCACCCCAGTGAGGGATCTGTGTTCAGCGGGGACGCAAGGCAGTAACGTCTCGTCAGGAATCCTCCAGAAGACGCATGCTTATCTAGCAGAAAGTGTTTAAACCTGCATGTTAATTGTACCCTGAGGCCCTGGTGGCCAACTTCCACCTGCTACAGAAGCAAGAGGGCAGGACTGGTGTACAGGCAACTGGGATTTTGGGCACGTTGCAGCAGTGGCAACGACTTCAGAGAGGAAAGTTAATTCTCTTATCATAAGAGCACTTTTATTAGGCAGATGGAAAGATGCTGTTTTCAATACAATTCCCAAAGCAAATATTGCCTTGACTGGTATCTTGTGGCTGGGCATGGCTGTCGGGAAACGCCAGCTGGTGTTCCTGGCCACCCTGCGCTGGCACACGGCCAAATCCTGGCTTTGGTTAACCACTGGCGCTCTGGGAGCAAACCGGGGACTGGCTGGGCAGAGGCAGGGAGGGACCTGCTGTAACACCTACACTGCTTACTCTGGAAGGCACAGCCAGCTTGCTTCCTCCCGTCGATGCTTTCTGCCAACACCAGGGACTTATTTGTGTTTTTTCCCGAAGAAAAGCAGAGCAGTTTGTTTTCCCTTTAGCAACAGCTTCTGTATTTCTGCTTTTCCACTTCCAGTCATGGCAGCCACGCATTCTTCAGGGAGGGCAAAAACCCACCAAAAGTAATGTAGTAATTAACTCCATGGCCACACAGATACTGTTGCCGCCAGTTAAACCACCGACACGACACGGGGGAGGGACTTTTGACTTTCTGCTCCAAAAAATGAGCTCGCTTATCATGTATGCTCTGGGAAAGGCTTGCTTCCGGCTTCTCCGCAGGCTTAGGCGGGCTAAAACACTAAAGGACAACGTGACCTCACCTCCAGCCGCAGGGTGCACGCTCTGTCCAGAGGACAGGTTTCAGTGCACACGCGTGTCTGTAGGTACATGCTTCCCCCTGCACGGGGGACGCTGTCTCAGGCAGCCTCTTCTGCTGGCTCGCGTGTTGTGCAATGGGGAAACTGTTCATATCTGACATCTTCTCTCCCCCTCTCCACCCAGGATGGAGAATCTGAAAAGAAAGACCCGTTTGAGGAGAGTGGGCTGACCCTGAGCCCAACGGCTGCAGAGGCCAAGGAGAAGGTGCGCGCCAAGCGCGTGAAGAAGAGGGCTCCACAGATGGACTGGAACAAGAAACGAGAGATTTTCAGCAACTTCTGAGCCTTGCTAGTGGCTCCTTTCTTCCCTGTCTCCCTTCCCTGCACTTGGCTCTCCCTGGCCCGGACGTTTCTGAGGTGCCTAGGCCCTGTCTTCAGCGTCCATGTGAGATGCTCTGTGCTCTGCTCTTCACTGGTTGCTTTTATGAGGCGTATTTTAAAGTCCTTTTTTTTTTATTATTATTATTATTATTATTGTTACTCACCAGCGATTCTCCTAAGACGAATGTGACCAAAGCTCCCTTGTATTACTTTTTATTTCATTTGGGATTTTTGTTTTGATTTTTTTTGAGTGTCCCAGACTGAGCCCCATGGGATGCTCTGTGCCCCTGTGCAAATGTCTTATGTCCTCGTGTCCCTCACCTTGGGCAAGGGGTCCAGAAAAAAGGTTGGGATGTAGGTGACAGCCCCCTCCCCTGCACCCAATCTGTAGCACTAGCTACTCACATCATGGGAAAACAGAGAGCGGCTGTAAATTGTTCTTGTTGGCTTTGCTATTGCTATTGAAATGAAAAAGGTTTTTTGTTGTTTTTTTTTTTTTTAAATGAAGTCCCATATGTTTCTAGTTAGTGCAGGAACCTCCCTCCCCACCAGCGCCTTCTACTAAGGCAATAAAAGCCCCTTTTTCATCCCCTCCCCCTTCCCTCCAGACAGCTCCGCAGAGAAGAGATGGCAGGATTTAAAACCAAAACACAAACCCAACAGCCCAAATGCCACAGGCCTCATGATTTGCATAATCAAATGCAGCAATGACTGGCATGGGGAAGGGAAGGGAATGAGATGATGCCGTCCCCTGCTCAGGGTAGCAGCAAGTCTGTACTCCCAGCAGCACTTCAGCAGCGCAAGGATCTGTCTTGGCAGCCCGGCTCAGAAGGCCTTGCAAGAGGACAAAAGCCATGAGATGCTACAAACTCTGCTCTTCAGACAGACTTGAAAAGAGCACAAGCGAGCATCTGCCAGCAGCTAGGAAGGTGTGCCGTGGGGATCCAGCTCCAGCAGCAGGCTTGGCGCTCCACAACACGGGGCTCGGCCCCTCTGCGCGCGGCCGTCGTGTCCTGGAACAGAGTCCAGCTCCCACCTGGTTTGTTACTTCTGAGCTGGTATTTAAAACCTTCCTCTCTTCTGCTGCTCTCTCTCTCCATCCATGTTTCAGTCTCACTGTCTTCTCTCTGTCGTGTGGATGCAGGGGGAGGGAGGGGACACAGGCTTGTCCTCTGAAGCAGTGCATGCTGCTGGGGGGGGGGTGTTTTTTCAGGGCTGGCTGTGAAGCAGGCAGCAGTTTGATGTAGCAGGCAATTGCTTTGGCTTCCTGTGCCCTCCTTTGTAAACACCCTGCTCTCAGCATTAGAACCTTAAAAAAATGTATCTTTAAAGCATTACTGATTAAGCCAGTATAAGCTCTTTACTACTTTGGCGGTAAATGAGGGAAGACGACTAAGATGCTATAGAACACTAACAGTTTCCCGACAGAGGTGTTTTACTAGGGAAGGGTCCAGGCCACAATGGGCTGAAGGGTTCCTGTTCACTCTTACCAAGCTCTGGTAATTCCCCAAGCCCAGCTGTTGTGGCTGGCATGTACTTCAGATCAAATGTCAAAGCAGCCCTTGAATGGGACTGGGCAAGGTGGGACAGAGTCAAGTACAAAACACTTTCCCCTGCTAAATGCAAATGGCGGCAATAACATGGGAGCTGATGGCTATTTTGAATGAAACATGTGGCTCACACTGCCCTGTGTTACTCTCCAGAGCTGTTGCATTACAAATGAGTGGCCTTTGGTTTAGTCAAAGCACTAAGTTAAGGTTCTGTGTATGTGTCGTAACTAAAAGGTGCCTTATAACATTTACTGTTCTCCTCAGCAGCTGCTTCTGTCTTGGCACAGCATGAGGGGTGCTGAGAGGCAGCAGGGATGGCAGCAGTGGAGTCCGGGGCACTGGGCTTTGCTGGGGGGAGCACCTGATGCACGTGGCTGTTATCTAGCTGCTGACAGAACATGGAACCTGTCAGGGGCTGAAGGACACTTCTCTGTTATGAAAATGCAAAATGTTGAAAGGTTGAACAGGTTGAAAAGTACATTTTTTTTTTTTTGGAGAGGAACCGGTGCAGGTGTTTGGCTATCAGTGATGAGACTGGGAGCAGGCTGATGGATCACATGTGGGGAGGTTTTCCTCCCCTCTGGGACTCTGATATTAACAAGATGCCTCTTCCCTACTACTACACATCAAAGACAATTAGCTCCTCTCTTTTTTTGGCCACACACACACGAAAAAAAGTGCTTCCAAAAGAAATCTGTAATCTACTGAAGAATCCCTACTTTTTCATGGTATGCATGTTACTTTCAGTGCCTGCATAGCCAAACCCCAGACAGTGTTACAGTCTGCGAAGGGCACAATGTTCCCCATTACGTTATGAAGCAATTGTCACAATCCATGATGTATGGTCAGAAAGCAAAGAAGTGTTTGTAAATACCACACTTCTCATACAAGACTGGACCAGTGTAGTGGAAGGGAGAAAAAGAAAATGTGATTTTTGAATGCAGATCAAAAGAAATCAGGTGTGCAAATATGTACTGGTAAGATTTTAAAATCTTAATCTCTGCTTAGTCCAAGGAAACTGCTCCTGGTTAAAGCACTTATATTTCTGACACCTTGTAGCTTGGTAGTAATTATTCAGTTCCTGTACATTTAACTTGGAAAAAAGAAATCAATAAAGTGTAAGGCTGTTAGCTGCATTGTGAAAACATAATGTACACTGTACACTGTCAGTAATAAACTTTGGTTTTGCCATGTACAACTTATTTGCTCATTCTTGATCTGTTTGGTAGGCAACTTCAGAGTGGAATTACATCCTTCTTTAGTGCATCATGAACTTTACTTCCTCCCTTGCCTGTTTAGAGAGTAGCTGAAATTAGCCCTTTGAAGCTCTACAGTGAAGTCAGCACTGCCCTTTCTTTGAAGAACAAAAAAACAAGCATTGCTGGTGTCCCTTCTGTCAGCTTCTAAGGTATGTGTTAGCCTGGATCCTGTAGCTACTGTAATCCCTCCTAGCACACACAAAACCGATGTGTAAGAGTCTTGCTTTCTCTTTGGGGGTGACGGATAGTTTTTGGATGACTTCAAGATCTATACTAGGTCTTCTAAACATAAGTCAGAAATCTGAAAGTAGAGAGAGAGAGCGAGCCTCACTACAACTTCTTGGATAAAGAGAGAAAAATATTAATGATGCAGCTGTTTCATTGTCCCCAATGCTACCTGTGTTCAAGAAAGCACTGCTCATCTCCAGCTCTCACTGTAGGATTTAAATACACAGTTAAATGCTGTCCATCTGAGGCCTTAAATTGAACAGCTTTGCCTGGATCAGTTTGTCTTGTTGAGCTCATCCAGAGCAAGAATGGTTGTTTGGCTAAAGTGGTAATAAAGAGTGAAGGCTGGCTGGCTTGTCCGCTGCCCACTGTGCTCTGTGTTCCCCTGGGCTACCAGGGTGCTACCAGGACTCAAAGGCTACTTGTCCAGGTGGTGGCCTCCTCTGATCCTGCTTGTGAAACCTTCAGCTGTACCTTGTTAAATGCAATGTCCCTCTTTGCCAAGGCTAGACAGGCGACTTGGCATGTTGCGTGCTGCCTGCTCTCAGCTGGCAGGGCTGGTTGCTATGGTCTCATGCTTTAGTGAGGTCACCAATACTCTCCTCCCCCTGCCCTGTGCTGCAGAGATGCCAGGAAACCCTATAGGTGGGGTTAAAAAAAGAAAATCTTTATTAAATGTGTATTTACAAGCAGCAACAGGTTCTGCAGGACAAAGGGTTTCTCACCAGCTGCTCCTGACACTGCATAGCCTGCGGCTCTTCTGGGCCATGCATGGGCATTCACACAGAAGCTGGAGCCTGCAGCACTGATGCAGCAGGACTGCTACACTTTTAAAGCCACTTTGTCACTCCTGAGAACTCAGCCATTGCTAGGCAAGTTTCTCCCTCCCCAGAGAGGCTGAGCTGGCTGCAGCT